TTTGGCCGGATTTGGCATCTTGCCATTACGGTAAAAAGGCCATGGAGTGGTACGCCGCCAACAACGTGCAGGTGGTTCCCAAGGACAAGAACCCTCCCAACACGCCAGAGCTCCGCCCAATTGAGAAATACTGGGCTATTGTCAAGCGGAACCTAAAGAAGACCAAAAAAAAAAAAAAACTGCTAAGGGCGAGCAGCAGTTCAAGGCAAACTTGCTTTCTGCGGCGAAGAAGGTGGACAAGGTGGCTGTACAAAATCTGATGGCAGGGGTCAAGCTTAAGGCCCGGCAATTCGGATTTGGAAAAGCGGAAGCCTAACTGAATATTTTTCCTGAATTTTATACTAATTGAACTTGAAAAAGAAATTTAATTTGATTTTTTAAATAAACGATTTCACCGATTTACACGCGTTTTCCCTTGACCAAATTTTGACCGTATCACCCTTTAATATATGCTGCACAGTAAGCATAAAGGAATTTAAATCGATGTTTGGGGTTCAATTTTATTAATCGCTGTTAAATAAAGTCTTTTCCAGTTTGACCGCTTCTTTTTGATTGCTGTAGCGCCTCTAGTTGCCGTAGCAAGAAACTATTGACAGCGTTTTGATCCGGAATGATGGTTTATTTAGTAGTGAAAAAATCCTGGGCCAAAATTTTACTTTGCCAAACGTTAGCGGGATGCTCCAGAGAGGCATGGAAAATCATTTACATTCATTTCATGCATTGATTTACATTCATTTGCCTCTAACGTTTATCATCAACTGCATTCTGCAAAATGATGTATGGAGTTTTTGTAGGTTTTGTTATTAGCTACAACTTTTGTGGAGATTTCAAATCTGTATCACTTATGCATCACGAATAAGAGCGGGCAGAACTCGTTACTGTTTTTCAGTGAATGTAAAATACATTCCCTGAAAAACAGTAGTGGATTCTGTTTGCTCTGGTTCGTCATGCATAAGAGATACGGATTTGAGTTTTTGACAAAAGTTGTAGCTAATAACAAAACCTACAAAAGCTCCATATACCATTTTGCGAAATTCTATTGATGAAAAAAGTTAGGGGCAAATGAATGTAAATGAATGCAAATGATTTTCCATGCCTGGCTCCAGATAAATTCAAATTTGTCTTTGCAGATAAATTCGCTTGCAAGTTGATGATTTGGCAAGGCATCTGCAGTTGCGGAAAGAAAACAAAGGTTTTCATCACTGGAGAGACTATGAATGGACAACTTTACAAGGAGGAGTGTCTCCAGAACATAATTTTGCCGTTCATTCAATCACACGAAGGTCCCTTAAAGTTTTGGCCTGACTTAGCCAACTGCCATTACAGCCGCGATGTCATAGAATGGTATAAGCAGAATAATGTCGATATTATTGAGAAAAGTATCAATGTCCAGATTTTCGTCCCATTGAAAAAATTTGGGCATCTATCAAGAAATGTGGCAAAACAATCAAAACACCATCTGATTTGGAGAAGTGGGGCAAAAGGATGGTAGATGAGGTTGACAGTACTACTCAACTGACATGATGAGAGGTATTCCGCGAAATGTTCGAAAATTCATCCGAAAAGCTGAGGAATAATTTGTTGCATTTTTTCCTTAAAGCTGCATAAAAATCCTACAAAATTACACCTTAAGCATTTTTGTTCTTTATTTCCCCTTAGAGAAATGACCTATTTTGTGCGACCAAATTCTAAATGGAACAGACTTTAGTACCTTCGAATTTGACAAACTTGACAAAACACCGGTGAATCAAATAAAAAAACACCAAACATTGTGGAGGGGGGCTGACCCCTTTGGCACCCCCATAAGCTACACAAATGCACCTAGACATGTTCCGGGGACTCTCCTTGGGAAGTAGCCAGAATTCTGGCATTTTTGTTGGAATATGACATGGTAAGAAGAGTCGGACCGCACCGTAGGTAGATAAGTTATAATTTTATGGACATCATCCAGTACCAACCCCTGATAGGAACTGACCAAGACGTACGACACCCTATAGCCACTACCAGTCCTGCCACGTCGTCGTTCGTCTCCAAAATCCGGTCGCTCAAACGAACAACTGGGAGAAATTCGGGAGGTGTAATACCAGTAAGTTGAATTTTATGATTCATTGTAATGTTGTTATTCTTTTCGTGGTGTGGTTTTCTTGGCTTGCTGTTGTCCGTTTGCCCCGGCTTGGTCCAGCAGCCGTACAGTGTGTGCATCTTCTACTGCTTCTTTTGCGTCTTCTTATTAGCGTCCTTCAGCAGGATTTTGGATCGAGTTTGATTTCGTTTTCTGCTGCTGCTCCAGGGGCTTCTTAATTTATGGTGCATCTTGCTGCAGCAGCGTTGTATATTCGTACAGGTTGGGTTTTATAATAATCAGACAGCAGGGGTTGTCAGAGGAACGGGATCGAGTTGAAGTTAAAAAAAAAAAAACGGGAGAAGAAAATAATAACAACATGTAGAGAATGAATAACAACAGCAACAATATCATTTATTTTATATCGGACAAGGATGTTTGTTTGTTCGAAGAACATCGCTGCAAGCTACTGTTGGCGTGGTCTGGGACGAGTTGTTTTTTTTTTATTATTTCACTCGGACTAATGACCAAGAAGGAAAGAGGAAAACGAATACATTTTGAGCAAATTTTAAGCCGTGCTAATTTTGATTTATTCGATATGCTTTGCGTTGACCTTTTGGGGCCTCGGTGAGCTGGTCATGGCAATGCAGTTCTGTGATGTAGATTCGCCTATCTGAATGACTTTTAAACAATGCATTGTACACGAGCAGCGAACGTTGAAATTTATGCTCGCAAAAAAAGAAGCACACTTGACCATGGCTGACTTGCACGAAATGCATATATTGGGGCAAGAAATCTTCAAATCATGCAAGCTGATCTCATCCAGTCGAGAATGGATTGCAAAAAGTGCACTTTGCTTAAAAGACTATAAAGCACAGTACTTGAACAAGTCAAGGACGGCGCTCGCGAGACACGGGCATAATTATTTTGAGTCAACAAATTTGCACGCTCTTCTTCATTCCTTTAGACGAATTTCCTGATATGTTAAGTGGTTGAGGTTACACGATTTGTTCCGCTGATCATCGAATTAAGAGTATTAAATCTGTTCAACAATGTCTTCAATGATCTTGGCTGTCTTCTGCCCTCGATAAGATGGATAAGGAGTCGAAGGAGTCAAACCTTAATTAAAAATGGGTCCTACGGAAATTATTTACTCAAATTAATAGGCAAAATCTTGCGGAAATCCCATTCGAGTACTAGGCAACAGATGGGCAGAAAGACCCGCACATATGCAAGATGCCGAATCGGAAAGCGTAGGTAGGTATACAAAATAACGAGAAACGAAATTAAAGAAACAAATTATTTTTTATTGCCCATGCATATAATGCAGGGAAGGTGCAGTGCAGGTCGTGGTAAATCCGTGCATCGCATCATCGCGCGTCGAACGTCGAAAATCGCGCGTTGTCCGATTTTCCGTTCGCCTTGTGCTTGCTTCCACTCGGACTACACAGGGCCTACACACACGACCTGGTGGCGACGGCGACGGGGGACTGCTGGTTCTTCTCATTTCGCTTTCGGAGGTTTTTGGCGCGCTCGCTTGCTGTTGGTGTTGTGCACAGCAGTCACCGTTTTTCTTCTGCGTAGCCAAATTCGGCAAACTGGATGACGTTTCGCTTGAATGCATCAGAAAACTGCCAAAAACTTCATCTTTAATCATTTATTTTTCGAAGAATTGCAGCAGTGAAAAAACACTTGTCAGAAGTTTTTTTTGCCATCCTTACGGCTTTTTTTTTTTCAAGATCCCAGCGTGTTCTCCTTGCGCTGTTGTTCCCTCTATTATCTGCGCGATGATAGGTGAAGGATACGTTACGGATCGAATTTCGGGTCGTTCTGAGTAGCGTATTTTTTACTTCTCTCGGTTGAGGCTATTAAACCGCATAAGTTGTGGTGCTTTTTGAAAACAAATCTTCTTCGTTGCCAAAAAAAAGGGGACAAATCCTCCTAAAAGTGCAATTTCCAACGCACGGTCAAACCGAAGGCACCGAAGGAGAAAAGCAAAACAAAAAATCGAAAAAAAAGGATCGCGTACTCCGAATTACACTTTGTTTCGTAGGGGTCCAGGGAAAAGAGCGATCGAGTGTGTAGATTGTGTGATGCTGGGGCTGGCCAAGATGATGATGATGATGACGACGACGTCGTCGTTCGTGGCTGCTGCTGGAGTAATAAGAAGAATCAGTAGAGAAACTGTGGAATAAGATCCTGCAAGGCGAAGGGACGAGTGAACCACGACAACGACGACGACGACGACAGAGCGCGAAGAGGATTCAGCGATAAGAATAATGGAAAGAAGGCAAATATAAACATGATATTTGATTTTTAAGTTGCACGTGTTCAATTCCAATAAAAAAGGGTTTTGTACGTTCTGTGGCGGTTACGGTTCTGATTGGGTTCACCGGTGGGGAAAAGTATTGGAATACTTGACTCAAGATTTCTTCACGATCCAGGTACGGACGAATACACGTGTGGTACCTGTTGAAACTATGAATAAACGAGTATTTAGACTACGGGACATCGAAAAACCACAGACAAACAGACGTAACTCATTGAATTTTTTTCTTCTTTAAAACAGCGTTCCTAAAAAAAATAGGGCATCAGTAACGACATCTCTCGAGCTTCTCGCGGAAAACAAGCTTGCTCACAGAGTCGCTAACAATGTTGCATGTCAGGTAAACAGAATACAGTACTTTCCCGATTTAGTCAGCCCCATCTGAAATTTTTGGATGACAAAAACGGGATGCTGACAAAATCGGAAATTTTTTCTTCAATAATTTAACTTTCAAAATGATTTCAAATGCAAGATTAACAATTATTTATCCATTGTTAAATGAATTACTGGTAAATTTTCACTATTCTTACATCATAGGGTACACCAAACGTCTCGAAAAGGCAAAACTGTTTGCTTACGATTTGTTGAGCCGGTACGTACTGTTCAGCATCCTTAAGTTCTGCTGGTTTCCAGCGGTGCAACCCAAGCTGAATCTCCATATCTCACGATCAACGAAGATACACTAGCCAGGAGCCGTCTCTTGCTACTGCTTGGTCCCGAGTAGTTCGGCATCTTTCTAGTTACCGCGTTGATGACCTTTGCAGTCATCTTGCATTCGACGGGGCTATTGAAGTCACGCGGTTGTCGATCATCACTCCCAGGTATTTCAACACGCGTTTTGAGGCTAGGTATGGCGTGCTCCCCAACGGTGATTTCTATCCGCTGCACCGCTTTCAAGCTACTGACCAATAGCATGTCGCTTTTGTTGTGGGCTATCTGCAGTTTCGCTCCATGTGTCCAGTTTCCAATCATGTCGATCGGCTCGGACGTCAACATTTCCATCTCTTTCAGCGTCTTGCCTGTTACCGTAATAAGACGTCGTCCACAAAGCCAACCATCTCAACTCGTTTGGGCAGCTTCAGCGTTAGCACGGCGTTTTACACCCCGTTCTAGAGCGTTGGACCAAGGATGGAACGTTGTGGAATTCCCACCGTAATCCTTATCGATCTCTGTCCCATGTCTGTCTCGTAGATCAGAACCCGGTTCTGGAAGTAACTCCATAGAATCCTGTACAGGTAGTCCTCATTATATGCAGCGCAACGGTGATGATCTCTCAGCTGGCGCTGTTGAATGCGATCTCCTCTCCGCTTCTGTTTCGACGCCTTCTCGGTTTTCTCGACCACTGTCCGAATTGCATCCACCGTTGATCTCCATTTCCGGAATCCGAACTGCTTCACCGACAAGTCCGGCTCAGTCTCCGTGCATTTGGTCACCCTGTTTAGGATGATCCTCTCCAAGAGTTTTCCGAGTGTTCCTCGTTGGTGACTTCGTCGTTATCTCCCTCTCCGTCTCCGTACGGTGTAGGTGGCCAGGTCGGTGGAAAGTCCTTCTACGATGACTTTCAGGTTCTCTGGGAACATTTCAGCGGGCATCGTTTGACCTATGATCTTCGTCATCACGACACGGTGGCGTCGTCCTAGAGGTTTTTTTTTAACTAGTTAATTTATTTACTAGGCTCAGTCGTGTGTGACATTTTGCGAAGCCAAATATCAGTAATGCTTGAATTTACATTTTAAACAGCAGTAGTTCTATGTTAGTATTGGGTACCAATTACTCGTGGCGGGCTCGAGGTTAATGGGTAATAATTTCGATTGGAAGGAGCTAGGTAGGAAACTGGTTTCTGAAGCCTCCTTCAGAACTCTCGGACGGTTGACCAAATCTTGGCTGGGCAGGGGCAAGTAGCACAGAAACAGAAGGATAATCAGACTGGGACACAATGGCTGGAAATTGTTTGGAAAGGAGGGGATGGTCACATCAAACTCTAACATTAGACAAACAAAGGAATTTGTAGATCACCTGCATGTAGGGAAGATCACGGGATCCCAATACATCTCTTACTTCACGGAAGGGTTGTCTGCCTCGGGCCACAAGGGTATCCAACAGTCGTGCTCTGGAGGCGTCAATACCCGGGCAATACCAAACTGCGTGATCGATGTCATCGTAACCGTTTCCACACCGACAGATGTTGCTGTCTACGAGGTTTATTCTATTGAGATGAGCATCTAGCGAGTAGTGGTTGGACATAAGTCTACTCATCACGCGAATGAAGTCACGGCTTAAGTCCAAGCCTTTAAACCACACTCTCGAAGAAACATTAGGAATAATTTAATGTAACCACCGTCCAAGATTTCCATTGTCCCAATCGGTTTGCCAACTCGAAAGGGTACTCTGACGCACTAAATGGTAAAATTCATCGTGTGAAATTTGCCTGTCATAAAATTCGCCTTCCTGCGCGCCCACCTTTGCGAGAGAGTCCGCCTTCTCATTGCCTGGGATTGAGCAATGTGAGAGGACCCATACAAAGGTAATCATATATGATATTTCGACCAGTACACTCATCTGCTCCCTTACCTTTGAAAGGAAATAAGATGAGTGCCTACCTTGTTTCATCGACCGAATAGCCTCAATCGAACTGAGACTATCCGAGAAGATGAAGTAATGGTCTATGGGCATATCGGAAATAATCCCCAATGCGAAGTTGATTGCTGCTAGCTCAGCAACATAAAAGGAACAAGGTTCCTGAAGTTTCCGAAAGGCGGTTGAGTATTCATTGAAGACACCGAAACGAGTGGATCCATCAATGCGTGATCCATCAGTGAAAAATCTTCTATTGCAATTGACTTGTTGGTACTTATCGTCAGAGGTTGGCAGCAACGTCTCGACACAGCTCCTTAAAACAGTTTGACTTGCTCTGTTTTATCTCTCGTTTATGTGCGACCCTGGCCACTCGGAACATTGCTCTACGTTCCTCTCTGTCTGCTTCTGCTCTTGCTCTCTGAATACGTCTTCTGGCTCTGAGACAACTAGCGCTGAAGGTGCTATTTGCTTCATTCCACCAGTAAGCTGAACGCCATCTGCTATTTGGCTCCAGTTTCCTCAGCATGGTCGTGCCACATGCTCTCACTAACGTTTCTGCCAACTCGTGTTCCACTTTCGGTCACCAGTTATCGTCCACCGTACTGTCACAGGATTTCGTTGACCGATGCCATATCGGATTGCCTGATGGTCGCTTTGGGTATATCCTTCGCACACTCTCCAATTAATGTTTGCCACAACCATCTCTGCGAAAAGTGCTGCTGGTGTCTTCGTTGGACAGCCCTACAATTTCCAGCTTTGCTATTGCTTCCAGCAGACTGTGTCCTTTTGCGTTGGTACATCTGCTACCCCAATCCACTGTCCAAGCATTGAAGTCTCCTCCGATGACTACCGGTCTTCGTCCGATCAGCTCTTCGGTAAGTCCATCCAGCATCTCGTGGAACTGCTCCATCGTCCATCTGGAGGGGGCGTAGCAACTGCATGTAAAGATTCCGTTAATTTTGGCGATCACGAAATCATCTTCTTGAATGGGGTTTCTGCCCATAACATAACCTAGTTACCATTTTCAGGAGGGACTCGATACGATTGCGCAATGGTTGCATGATTGAGGTTTACCTCCGTTACTGTTATGTCAAAACAATTAAGTGTCATTTGGAGCGAAATGCTTAAGAATTTATGCTTAAAAACCAAAAAGTTTAGGAAAAGCAGCAGGCTGACAAAATCTGGGGTGGACAAAATTGGGAAAGCACTGCATATAGAAACGTCAAAGTGATCCGATGCCAGCACTTCAGTGAGCACTTCGTGCCCATGATAATATTGAAATCAATCGTTAAATGCATGAACGATGATCCAGAATGAAGAGCTACGTCTGTTTGTCTGTGGAAAAACCATCTATTACGAATGATGAAGCTGTTAACGAGCCTCGTAATTGCATAAAACTCCCGCGTTGGAAAAAGGTTAAGCAACCTGGGCTTAGTAAAAAAAACCAAAATGCCAGTTAAGGGGGTATTCCCAATCTTTTGCCTTTTTTCGGCCTGTTTTTCAATTAATTTTTTTTCAAGGAAAATGAATAGTAATGCGCCTAACTCTTTGGGATTCTTGTTTATTGAACATTAAAGTTTACAAATAAATTTTTTTTCGACATAAAAAAAGACATTATTGACGTCACAAAATGGCGGCAAACAGACCCCTGTTCGCCGCAAACGCCTGGACGGGCGAAGACTTTTCTCTGGAACGGCTTCATCTGAAACAGATTTCGTGATGAAATTAATAATCTGATAAGATTCTCTGGAGCTTCTCCCGTTGGCAGCAAAAAATCTTGAAAATTAACAAAATGACGGCCATATGAAAAAACAGGCGATTTTTAGCCCGCTTTTTTGCAGCTTTAAGTTGCTTCAAACAATGTTAAATGTTAATATTTTTGGCTGAAAGTGGGAGAAGCTCCAAAGAATTTAATAAGGAACAAAATGCGCAAAGATTCAAGTCGTTATCTCTTATAGTTTCTGAGAAAAATCTTCGCCCGATAAAAAAAATGTGGTTTCGAGAAAAACGCCTTTAAAGTTTTGACTTTAGTTAAAACCATTTGGGGGTTCTTACCATTAGTCAGCTATGCCTGGACACCGAATTCGCTGATCGGAAAACGGCTTGGGGGGATGAAAGTATATAGTCTAAAGTACAAAAAAACGTGAAAAAAAAAATTTGATTTTTTGAAAAAAAAGATGTAACAAGGTTACAAGTATTCAAAAAAATAAGTCCTAGAATACAGTCCTACACAACCCCATTAAAATTACGATTTTCACACGAGCGAATCGCGTTCCTAGTCTCTGGACTCGAACCGGTCAGAAACGTCAGGCGAGGAATGTCAAATGACGACGGGTAGGTAGAGTTTATGCCACCGGAAAAACTCTCCCGAGTGTGTATAATGGGACACGAATTCTGACCTGACAAACTTCGGTTCGATACTGGGTCGTAAAAGTAGACGGCTGTCCAATTGAATGCTATCTGATCTCAACTGCGTTACCGATCACACGGTCAAAGATAGTTTATCTAGTGAAGGCAAGAATTAAAAGAAGTAGGAGTACCTAGTCGATGTAGAAAGGTCTAGTGGTTAAAAAAAAAGCCGTTTGCTGAATTAGTGATTTTTTCCGGGTTTGTAGAATAAAAGTGCGAGTAAATTTTGCTTTACTAAGCCAGTTCAGTTTACAGCTAGGGAAGCCATAGTGTAAAGTGTGAGGACGCTTCGCTTGCACAAGCAAGTGCCAGCCATTTCGAAAGGTAAATCCGTCAGCTATGAAAATGATAAAATCTATCACGGTGATATGTTTGAAGGAACAATCCCTTCAAACAAGGGTGCACCCCTCGGGTCGTGGATCCAGAACGACCGAGCGAAGGACGGATCCCTTCATTGAGGTCGACTCGCAGGGACGTCACCGTACACGTGTTGGACTGATTGGAGTCGGAACAAACGGTTCACTCCTAACCTCACACACGCCATCTGCAGATCAGCCACGTGCATTACCTCTGGGAAGCTTTGCGCGAACGTCGAAAGCACGACGGCTTGGTGAATCCCAACCTCACCATAACCTCAACGTAGCGGTGAGTAGCGAACGTTGCACGGGGAGGGTGTAATACGCTAGCAGAGCCACAAACCTCTTACACGACAAAACGACGGACACCAGCGAGCGAACATTTGCCACCCACGCACTCGGCCCACGTATCGCCGAGGCTGAACCACGGACACGTGTCCCGACATCCAGCGCTACAGAAGTCAGGTTAGCACAGATCAAAACCCTATTCGATGTACCCCCTACTAACCCTAGTTTTATGAATAAACACCTGAAATGCACCTCGCAGTGAAGAGATTCGAATAAGTGATCGGACACGTGAAAGAGTGACGGAAACATTTAATTGGTTAAATTCGCGTGAACGTTGTTAAATATTCCCGTAGGTAAGCAGAGGCAAACCTT